CCCAATCAAATCTTCAATCTGAAATGTTTCTTCATCTCCAATCAAATCTTCAATCTGAAATGTTTTTTCATCTTCAATTAAATCTTTAATCTGAAATGTTTCTTCATTCTCAAGTATCTTCAACTCATCAAGTATCTCAATGATTTGAAATGTTTCTTCATCTCCAATCTCAAGTATTTCTTCATCTTCAATGCTCATCAAGTATCTCAGTCATCTGAAATGTTTTTTCATCTCTAATTAAATCTTTAATCTGAAATGTTTCTTCATTCTCAAGTATCTTCAGCTCATCAAGTATCTCAATGATCTGAAATGTTTCTTATCTCCAATCTCAAGTATTTCTTCATCTTCAATGCTCATAAAGTATCTCAGTCATCTGAAATGTTTCTTCATCTCCAATCTCAAGTATTTCTTCATCTCCAATCAAATCTCCAACTCATCAAGTATCTCAGTCATCTAAAATGTTTCTTAATCTCCTATCAAATCTTCAATCTGAAATGTTTCTTCATCTCCAATCAAATCTTTAATCTGAAATGTTTCTTCATTCTCAAGCATCTTCAGCGCATCAAGTATCTCAGTTATCTGAAATGTTTCTTCATCTCCAATCTCAAGTATTTCTTCATCTCCAATGCTCATCAAGTATCTCAGTCATCTGAAATGTTTCTTCATCTCCAATGCTCATCAAGTATCTCAGTCATCTGAAATGTTTCTTCATCTCCAATATCAAGTATTTCTTCATCTCCAATCAAATCTCCAACTCATCAAGTATCTCATCATCTGAAATGTTTCTTCATCTTAGTCATCTAAAATGTTTCTTCATTTCCAATCAAATCTCCAACTCATCAAGTAGAAAGGTTAAATGTTTCTTCAATTCCAATCAAATCTTCAGATCATTAAGTAGAAATGTTTCATAATCTTCAATCAATTCTTCAGCTCATCAAGTAGAAATGTTTCTTCAATCAAATCTTCCGCTCATCAAGTAGAAATGTTTGTTCAGTAGAAATATTTCTTCATCTCCAATCAAATCTCAGCTCATTAGGTAGAAATATTTCTTCAGTAGAAATGTTTTTTCATCCCCAATCAAATTTTCAGCTCATTAAATAGAAATGTTTCTTCATCTCCAATCAAATCTTCAGCTCATTAGGAAGAAATGTTTCTTCATCTCCAATCAAATGCATCAAATAGAAAGTTTCTTCATCTCCAATCAAATGCATCAAATAGAAAGTTTCTTCATCTACAATTAAATATTTCGCAATTAAATCTTCAGCTCATCAAATAGAAATGAGCAGCTCATCTTCAATCAAATCTTCAACTGATCAAGTAGAAATGTTTCTTCTATGAGAAGAACATCTTTAATCAAATCTTCAGCTGATCAAGTAGAAACCAAAAAATCTTCAGCTGATCAAGTAGAAATCTTCAGCGTTTCTTCATCTACAATCAAATCTTCACCGTTTCTTCATCTCCAATCAAATCTTCAGCTCATAAAGTAGAAATGTTTCTTCATCTCCAATCAAATCTTCAGCTCATCAAGTAGAAATGTTTCTTCATCTCCAATCAAATCTTCAGCTCATCAAGTAGAATCATCAATTCATCTCCAATCAAATCTTCAGCTCATCAAGTAGAAATGTTTCTTCATCTCCAACTCCAATCAAATCTTCAGCTCATCAAGAAATTTTTCTTCATCTCCAATCAAATCTTCAGCTCATCAAGAAATGTTTCTTCATCTCCAATCAAATCTACAGCTCATTAAGAAATGTTTCTTCAGCTCATCAAGAAATGTTTTTTCATCTCCAATCAAATCTTCAGCTCATCAAGTAGAAATGTTTCTTCATCTCCAATCAAATCTACAGCTCATTAAGAAATGTTTCTTCAGCTCATCAAGAAATGTTTCATCTCCAATCAAATCTTCAGCTCATCAAGAAATGTTTCTTCATCTCCAATCAAATCATCAGCTCATCAAGTAGAAATGTTTCTTCATCTCCAATCAAATCTTCAGCTCATCAAGTAGAATCATCAAGTAGAAATGTTTCTTCATCTCCAATCAAATCTTCAGCCCATCAAGTAGAAATGTTTCTTCATCTTCAATCAAATCTTCAGCCCATCAAGTAGAAATGTTTCTTCATCTCCAATCAAAATGTTTCTTCATCTCCAATCAAATCTTCAGCTCATCAAGTAGAAATGTTTCTTCATCTTCAATCAAATCTTCAGCTCATCAAGTAGAAATCATCAAGTAGAAATGTTTCTTCATCTCCAATCAAATCTCCAGCTCATCAAGTAGAAATGTTTCTTCATCTCCAATCAAATCTTCAGCTCATCAAGTAGAATCATCAATTCATCTCCAATCAAATCTTCAGCTCATCAAGTAGAATCATCAAGTAGAAATGTTTCTTCATCTCCAATCAAATCTTCAGCTCATCAAGTAGAAATCATCAAGTAGAAATGTTTCTTCATCTCCAATCAAATCTCCAGCTCATCAAGTAGAAATGTTTCTTCATCTCTAATCAAATCTTCAGCTCATCAAGTAGAATCATCAATTCATCTCCAATCAAATCTTCAGCTCATCAAGTAGAATCATCAAGTAGAAATGTTTCTTCATCTCCAATCAAATCTTCAGCTCATCAAGTAGAAATGTTTCTTCATCTCCAATCAAATCTTCAGCTCATCAAGTAGAAATCATAAAGTAGAAATGTTTCTTCATCTCCAATCAAATCTCCAGCTCATCAAGTAGAAATGTTTCTTCATCTCTAATCAAATCTTCAGCTCATCAAGTAGAATCATCAATTCATCTCCAATCAAATCTTCAGCTCATCTCTAATCAAATCTTCAGCTCATCAAGTAGAATCATCAATTCATCTCCAATCAAATCTTCAGCTCATCAAGTAGAATCATCAAGTAGAAATGTTTCTTCATATCAATTCATCTCCAATCAAATCTTCAGCTCATCAAGTAGAATCATCAAGTAGAAATGTTTCTTCATCTCCAATCAAATCTTCAGCTCTCTTCAGCTCATCAAGTAGAATCATCAAGTAGAAATGTTTCTTCATCTCCAATCAAATCTTCAGCTCGTCAAGTAGAAATCATCAAGTAGAAATGTTTCTTCATCTCCAATCAAATCTCCAGCTCATCAAGTAGAAATCATAAAGTAGAAATGTTTCTTCATCTCCAATCAAATCTCCAGCTCATCAAGTAGAAATGTTTCTTCATCTCTAATCAAATCTTCAGCTCATCAAGTAGAATCATCAATTCATCTCCAATCAAATCTTCAGCTCATCAAGTAGAATCATCAAGTAGAAATGTTTCTTCATCTCCAATCAAATCTTCAGCTCATCAAGTAGAAATCATCAAGTAGAAATGTTTCTTCATCTCCAATCAAATCTCCAGCTCATCAAGTAGAAATGTTTCTTCATCTCTAATCAAATCTTCAGCTCATAAAGTAGAATCATCAATTCATCTCCAATCAAATCTTCAGCTCATCAAGTAGAATCATCAAGTAGAAATGTTTCTTCATCTCCAATCAAATCTTCAGCTCATCAAGTAGAAATCATCAAGTAGAAATGTTTCTTCATCTCCAATCAAATCTTCAGCTCATCAAGTAGAAATCATCAAGTAGAAATGTTTCTTCATCTCCAATCAAATCTCCAGCTCATCAATCTTCAGCTCATCAAGTAGAAATAATCTTCATCTCCAATCAAATCTTCACTCATCAAGTAGAAATAATCTTCAGCAGAAATGTTTCTCCAATCAAATCTTCACTCATCAAGTAGAAATAATCTTCAGCATAAATGTAAATAATCTTCAGCATAAATGTAAATAATCTTCAGCATAAATGTAAATAATCTTCAGCTCATCAAGTAGAAATGTTTCCTCATCTTGCTCCAATCAAATCAAGTTTCAGGGTTAAATAAATAAAAATGTTAGAAGTGAGATTTGAACCCACGCCATCTAGTAGAAATAATCTTCATCTCCAATCAAATCTTCACTCATCAAGTAGAAATAATCTCCATCTCCAATCAAATCTTCACTCATCAACTAGAAATAATCTTCAGCAGAAATGTTTCTCCAATCAAATCTTCACTCATCAAGTAGAAATAATCTTCAGCAGAAATGTAAATAATCTTCAGCTCATCAAGTAGAAATGTTTCCTCATCTTGCTCCAATCAAATCAAGTTTCAGGGTTAAATAAATAAAAATGTTAAAAGTGAAATGTTAGAAGTGAGATTTGAACCCACACCTTCTTATGAAGACCCGATGTTAGAGTTTCAGGGTTAAATAAATAAAAATGTTAGAAGTGAGATTTGAACCCACACCTTCCACACCTTCTTATGAAGATCAGATGTTAGAGTTAAATCAAGTTTCAGGGTTAAATAAATAAAAATGTTAGAAGTGAGATTTGAACCTTCCACACCTTCTTATGAAGACCAGATGTTAGAGTTAAATCAAGTTTCAGGGTTAAATAAATAAAAAGGTTAGAAGTGAGATTTGAACCCACACCTTATTATAAAGACCGGATGTTAGAGTTTCAGGGTTAAATAAATAAAAATGTTAGAAGTGAGATTTGAACCTTCCACACCTTCTTATGAAGACCAGATGTTAGAGTTAAATCAAGTTTCAGGGTTAAATAAATAAAAAGGTTAGAAGTGAGATTTGAACCCACACCTTATTATAAAGACCGGATGTTAGAGTTTCAGGGTTAAATAAATAAAAATGTTAGAAGAACCCACACCTTATTATAAAGACCGGATGTTAGAGTTTCAGGGTTAAATAAATAAAAATGTTAGAAGTGAGATTTGAACCTTCCACACCTTCTTATGAAGACCAGATGTTAGAGTTAAATCAAGTTTCAGGGTTAAATAAATAAAAAGGTTAGAAGTGAGATTTGAACCCACACCTTATTATAAAGACCGGATGTTAGAGTTTCAGGGTTAAATAAATAAAAATGTTAGAAGAAATGTTAGAAGTGAGATTTGAATTCAGGGTTAAATAAATAAAAATGTTAGAAGAAATGTTAGAAGTGAGATTTGAACTCACACCTTCAGACCAAAACTTGAGTCTGGCACTTTAGACCACTCAACCATCCTAACATTTTGCTTGTCATAAAAATTAGTTTATTGTTGTAAAATAAATATTATTTAATTGAAAGTAGAAATGGAACTATTGTCTTTCTAATTCGATGATAATTTTGTCATAAATCTATAAACAATATTAATTTTATTTTAAAAATATTCATAGTGTCGGAAACAAATATATTGTTATTTAAAATGATATATTTTTCGTCATTATAAATCATTTCCATTCCATAACATTTTTTAACATTTGAGACGTTAACGTAATCCTAAGCTCAAATAACTTATTTGTTTCTATAAAATAAGAAAATCTTATTGTGGCGCATCGTATTAGCATCTTGATTACGATATTAAAATTTAGAGGTAAATATTAGTAGTACATAGTATTCACAATCCAGGGTGGACTAAAATAACAACTCTTTTTTTAAGTTTGTAATTTTTTTTTTTTTGAAGCATAGGTTAATTTTTTTAGATTTTATTTAAAAACTAAAATGTTGAGAATTACTTTTTTTTTTTTTTTTCTCTCTACGTGAAAATTTCTCAAAAAAATAATTTTCTTTCAACTTTTGCTGGTTTGAAAATTAATTTCGTCGAAGATTTTGGAACAAGAATCGTTTATTCTCTAGGAGAATGGTGAGTAATAAAGCTTGGTAAATTTTTTCTTTCCTCTATGAGAACGGTGAGTACCAAAGCTTGGTAAAGCTTGGTAAACTAATCCAAACCTGTGTAGTTTAGATTAGTTGGTAGATCTTTTAATGTAGGTTCGGTCTAAGTCGAAGTTAGGCTAACACTTTTAGTAACGATTAAGGGAAGCGTCCGAGGGAAGGGGCCTTCTTATTGAAACTAAACCGTTTTTTTTTTTTCTAAATATGGTTGGATATGCTGTATGTTGTTTTGATGTCATACTCTATTGGTCATGAAAAATATATATTTTGGGACTTCGTATGTGCATCAGACGATTTTTGAATGTAATGAGTGTGGTAATGGTTACACTTAGTGTGTATCGGATAGGCAACCACTAATGGTCATTGTGTTGGATTGTCCTACAAAGGCGGAATAGGATTTTGACAAAAAAAAAATATATATATCTAAAATTTAATTTTTCTAACTATCAAACTTTTTATATCAATTTAAAGGCATTAGGTAAATTAAAACAATAAACAATTATGAAAAAGAATTAAGAAATCACGATAAGAACTTCAAAATTAAATAAGATAGAGTGAGAGGAAGTAACACCGTAGTTTTATAGTGGTTCAGTCAAAATCGACTTTCTCCACTCTTCAAGCGTTTCTTAAAAATTTGAATAAAAATCTTCTCGGTTCTTTCCACGAATCAGAAAAAAACCATAACACCTCTTTTTACAAGTTCAAGAGCAAACTAAATCTTTTCCACGACTCAGGATCAAACTATGATGGTTTGGATATTTGAGCATAATGAGAGAGTTTTTTGATGAGTATTTTTAATAATCACCTATTTTTTAAATTATTTTGAGGTTAGGATAAGGTTGTAGACCAAGAGTGACGAACGAACATGGTGGAAAAGCCATTCATTGAGCAATTTAAAGTTTTTAATATTTTTCTTATCTATTTAAGATGTTTACACATTAAATTTATTTATTTGTTCAAATTATCAATAGGCTCTCCAAGCACGTTGAAAATTCGGCCGTAAACTTGGCTAGAATACTCCTAGTTTATGAAAATAAAAGGAATTTTGTTGTTTCTTTTCGTATATTTTCATATATTTTAAATTACAAACTCTTAATGTTAAGGGACGTATTTGATTGGTATGTGTGCAATAATTACATAACTGTTTGGTCTTAGCTCTTTCCAAAGTCACCGAGGATGTTGATTCCCATCACACACCTAGAATAACGATTTCCATCACACACTCAAAAGTTGCTCGGATAACTATCATGCTAGTTTCTTCTCTCTCTCTCAGCTGTTTTTGAATGAACCTAGAGTTTTCGTTGTTGCTCAATATCTCTATCAAATTACTTAGGTTTCCAACTTCAGGCGAGCATACTTTGTGAACTCTTTAGGTTGGACACCCGTTAGAACTAGTAACCGTCATGACAACGTTATTTAAAACATAACGATCGTTTTCCTATCCTTTGGTGTACGCGTCTGTACCCTCGTGATGGAATAGGGGTATTCGTCTGTACCCTCGTGATGGAATAGGGGTATTCCCCCAATGCATGAGCACACATAATGCATGAGGTCCCCAATATATTTACTTTTATCATTAATAGATATAACCTCATTGTTAATTTCATTTGTATCTTATTACTTTTCATTTCAGTCCTCCTATCATGCATAATTCTAACGGGCTATATTTCATACTATAGGTTGTAATGGAACGTAACATTACATTTCATGCTTTCATTATAACATATTATGACATGCAATTCGTACAAAACACATATTAACGATCACATAAACATTATAAGCACAACACATCACATCACATCACATTATATCGCACATCAAGTCATTTCAAAAACAACATACATTCACCTTGCATACTTTTAAGTATAAATCTTAACAATCTAACATACAATTAATGACACATGCGGATGCACGGGCACATGCCAACATACAACACACAATTGTGTAACCTACAACGATAGAGCCACCTACATGGTAGGCCTTAGCCGAAGTACTCCCTAAAATATATACGTAAGCTCCTAACTCCTCGTATGCGTCCTACGCTTTCGTTGGTGGTTGGTTCCTATTGAATTGTTCGACACTTTTGTTTCACAATCATAATTAAATTCCAACTTGAAATTTGTGAAATACGGCCTTAAAATGACCTATTTTTCCTTAAACGGGATCGAAATCAAGTCTGGGAAGGTTAGAACGTTGCCGAATAGGTCAAAGGTTCCCAAGCTGAGAAGTCACTGTGGGACTTTGCGTCAGTCATTGACACGTGACGCAACCAGAAGCGGCTGTATGTGCAGTGTTAAACTCAGGTTGAGGCGCGGGTCGTCGAGCGGCCCGGACTTCGTCACGGATTCTGGGTTGCGACGGGCTGAAGGGTTTTGGTTGCAGGTGGGCTGGGCCGTCAACGTCGGGTATTGGGCTAACGTTTGTGTCTGTAGGTGGATTGGGCTTGCGGGTCCGGGTCGGTTTGGTTTTTGGTCCCAGGTCGCAGCTGATTGGGTTAGGCTGAGGCGTGGATTGGGCTGGGTTGATGCAATGTCCATAGATGGGTTGGGCTGCAGTTCACTGCTACGGGTTTGGTTTCAGTTTGGGTCGCAGGTCCATGGGTCGGACTTCATCTTCTTCGCCTGACTACCAGAAAAAGTTTCGGCAACTTTTCTCTCTCTTCGGTAACGTCGTTTCCGACGTCCATATTCCTCCTTTTCCTTTCGTTTCCAAGTCTCCTCTTCCTCCTTTTCTCGTTTATAGCATTTTTTTTTGGCTCGTATAGGCCAAAAACTTCTAGATCTAGGTGTTGAGATATGATTCAAAATGAAGATATGATTCAGAGTAGTAGAGATATGATTCAAATATTCAAACTATGAGATTTTTAGGAGATTGTTAGTAGATTTAAATTCTTTCTAGATTTCGATGATTTACTATTTCTGGTCCAGTGTATAAGCTATAAATACTGGAATTGTGTAAGCCTCTTAGCATTGAGTCGGTAGACAATAATAGAGCATCGCAGCATTCATCTATTCTTATCTCTTTCACTATCCCTCTTTCCAACAATTTTGGTATCAGAGCCAAGTTCGTTCGACACGAGGGCGAGTGATTATTTTCTTTCACAAAACAAAATGGCAGTAGCTGGCTTTTCTTCTTCTGCACCGTTGTTACCAATCTTTAATGGTGAGAAATATGAGTGGTGGAGCATCAAGATGAAGACCTTGCTCAGATCGCAGGAGCTATGGGACTTGGTGGAGCACGGGTTTG